CTAGCCGATCCCCAGGGGGAGGAGGCGGGTAACGCGTAGGCTACTCAAGCAAAGATGCTCTGACAATTAATAAAATATTATGCCACCAAAAATGTTAGCATGTTGCCGATATAATTATCTATAAATAAATAATAAATGGGAAGTTATAGCCTTACTAGCTACTCCCCCTTCCCCGGCTAAAGTTTTCAATCGAAGAAGAGCGAAAGGTAATGACATATTCATGTATTGATAAGATTGTTTTGACAGTAGCTTTGTGTGGATCCATTTTATTATCTATCAGTCGTCATGTTACTTATCTATTCTTCATAACATTGCAATGATGGACCATATTATTTGATCGCTTGAATGTTTGAAGATAACGTGGCAATTGGAGATTTAAATTGGTGAAGAAAAAAAAATCACATTCCCTTGGCGAATTGAATATAATCGTAGGCTAGACTCAGTACAATGTGGAAATAAGAACTGAAATTAAATTCGGCCATTCAAGTAAAACATGTGTATAAAATAATTTAAGCTTAATACCCCATTATTTCATCTATATCTAATAAATATAGAAACATCATGAAGGCCTTATACATCTTCCTGCTCTGTGCTGCTACCTCATACACGTATGGCAATACTCCAAACGAATACGCTTGTCCACATGCATGGACTCAGCGAAATGGCTACTGTTACCGGTACTTCGATGACATGTTACCGTGGTCGGTAGCGGAGTCGAGGTGTCATGAACACTTCGATTCCGACGGCATCGCCCATCTCGTATCAATTCATGATCAAGCTGAGAATGACTTCATCTTTGACATATTCAACTCGGCGAACGGTGATCATGGTGATCTCGACATCGTAAGTGTTACATTCTTTATCTTTATCTTGAGAGAGAGAGAGAGAGAGAGAAGAGAGAGAGAGAGAGAGAGAGAGAGAGAGGAGGGAGAGAGAGAGAGAGAGAGAGAGAGAGTAAGAGAGAGAAAGATAGAGGGATTCGAAATTGTATTGATTTTCGTTTTTCGTTAGTTTCAGATAAAGAATGTGGTTATTTCACCATTTTGGAGTTAGCCCATAGAGGTGGGTTTGAAGAAAAAAAAAGGATTTAGGTCCAAAAAATAAACATAAGGAAACTTAATTATTTTGCTCTTGATTGTGCGTGTCAAATCATACTCTTACCAGGGCATGTGAGTTAAAGTCTCACCTCCCTGCTCTTACTCAATACCCAGTAGAAAGCGGCGTATAGTCAGGGTAGTCAGCGGGGAATCGCTCTGCTTTGGAGGGTTAGGGCACAAGAGGATTTTTTGTAAATAGGGAGGTTGTACTTCAGGAATCTGCCATGTGTGGGAGGGGCTGTCCCAGGTCCCACGTAGCCTACTGTTAGACGATAATGTTTGAAGAGGGGGAGAGAGAGAGAGAGAGAGAGAGAACAAAACAAAACAAGTGAGAGAGAAAGAAGAGAGAAAAAAGAGAGAGAGAGATGCGATATGAGATACAGGAAGATAAATGAAGGGGAAAAATAGAAAAGCAGTGGAAAGAAAGATTGAATAGGATTGAGTGAAGAAGTGTAGAGTTATTTTAATACACCTCATTGAGACCACTAATGGCATCCCTTCAATAACATTCAGTCATTATATAAGAGATCAGACATTGTCCCTCACACGGTATATCCCGTTTCCTTCCTCACCAGACAATAAAGGTTTTAATAGTTAGGCTTTCTTTCAAATCATAGGCGTAGCCGATGGGGCGGGAGGTCGAGGGGACCATGTTTTCATCCTCTATTTTTTCTTCAAGGAACTATATGTGACTTTGTGTCCATGCACCCCTGCCCCTGTTCCACGATTCTGGCTTTGCCATTTGTTCCAATTAATGATCTTCTTTTCGAGGCCATATATTAAAAGTTTGTTCACATTAACTTGGTCATAACACCAACATATAAATTCTAATTAAAACAACCATCAAAGGTAAGAGCAATAATATTTTACCCTCTAAATCCCTGTTTCCCTTTCGATATCCCCGTTTCCCCTTTTGCATCACGATCTTCCATGTTTCAAATACAAGGTTTAATACAACATGATCATGTTATGTGAATTATCGTTATGATGAGGTACTCGAATACTTTTTTAATGTAGTTTTGAATGACAGTAAATCTACAAAATTACCACGTGATTTTCCTTGACAATGTAGTCTTGATCAAGTGGTTATTGACGTTGAGAAGCTCCATATTTTCCTCCGGTTTTTTCTAAGGATGAGTCAGGAGCTATAGAAAACATATTCAATTATTTATTAGAATGCGGTGTATAAATAAAATTGTTCCCCCCTCTCAAACTACTAACTCTTTGTTTCAGATACTCACCCGAAATGTTTACTTTTCTTTTGTTAAATTTTACGTTAATTAAAAGGACGGTGATTTAGGCATTAAAATGTCTTTAAAAAGGGCAAGCTATGATATTAATTGAAGAAAAAAGAACTTTATCCGAATGATAATATGCACTTGATAATCCCAGTACGTTTCTGGCAATTTCGTCATTCCTGATTATGAAATTATCAAATCGTACATGCCCGCAATGACGTCAAATGCGTCATCAAGCCACGTGACGGCCTTTTTTTGAGGGGCGTAGCCCAGCAAGCGTGAGATCTGTGAAAAATGGATGGTTATTATCATTTTATGGTCAATTTAGAGATTTTCTGAAAAATTAGAGGCTGGAATATTAATAAGTAGAGGTGTATTCATGTTTTAAAATGCTATGTTACTTGGGTTAGAGTGGCCCTTGAAAAACGTTTTTTCTGTATTCTGTATTTCATTGCCCTATAGACAAATACTCCTGGCACTGATCTACCCACCGGGATGTGGACGGGACTCCACCAGGAGGTACGGGATGGCCCTTGGGTGTGGTCGGATGGTTCCTCCAATGACTACACCCATTGGTTACCAGGACAACCCGATAACGGCTACCACGCCCGAGGTCGACTCAACGAGGACTGTGTCATCATATGGCGGAACGACGACAACGGCTCAGAGTCTACACGACAGTGGGACGATATCGGATGCGACATCCAGGGAGGAATGCCTTACGTTTGCAAGATGCCGGCCGTGCCCGAGTTTAATGACGTCGAAGACAGCAGACATCATCAACGCATTTTGTGAGCAGTGTACGAAGCAGTAAGAACTGATTGAAACGGACGATGCAAACATAACAGATACTTAAAGAAGTCTGAGTGCGTTACAACTGAACTGTGACGCATATACTACGTCCATACTCTCCTGTTTCTTCGGTCTCATAGGCCTTCGCTCTCCTGAGCGTTCGATCTCGTGAACCTTTTGTCCGTTGGAATGCATCCCGTATACTATCCTTTCTTTGCAATGTGTAATATATAAACATGAAGTCGATTTCAGTGTGTTTTAGGATTTATATTTATTACTCAAAATGTAAAAACATATTCCATTATTATAGACATTTACGAATCATGCTTTATACAAATAAAACATTAAAACATAATCGTAGGTCTAATCAACTTAACTTGATAAATGACTCAAAATTCAACGTAGGATTCTAAAAATACTATATATTGTTTGATGTCCAGAAGAAATTCAGAATAAATAATCATTATCAGGATTATAAAATCGTCTTGAAAAATATAATACGATAACTTCCATTTTTAATGCTTCTGTGCCCTTAATCCGGGATTTGAGGTCTTTCAATTATTAAACAATGCCAAACGACTACTAGTCAAGTGTGAAATATTAATTGGAGTTGTTTCTATGTATATTTATACAGGTATACAAGTCAACAATAAACACAACGTCATTGTATCTTATTTCATAACTAATTGTTTTTTCATAGATCATTCTGAAAAAAGAGAACAGTATCAAACAAGATCTGAAATGTTGCATCATAAGTTTCAAATATATATCTGATGTCCTGGGTATAAGGAAATAAAGTAGCACTTAGGCACTAAGTAAAACATAATCTCGAACGTTGTTTGATATTTGGTTTAAGCGCCAATGGCTGATTCTTCAAAATAACCGTCCAATAAATAAACATTTTGTCAACGTGATCGTTTAAGTACTATAGTATATATTATTCTTTTTTTTTCATCTTTCTATATAATAGAATGACAGAAAGATGAAAAATGTAATGCACATTGGGGAAAGAGGATTCAATAATCATAGATAAATAATTTAATGGAAATCTAATAAATATTTAATATTTCGTAGTAATCGTTTGCGCAATCAACTACATGTATATTATCTTGCTTGCAAACACTTTTGGACCAATTGCTCAACGTGCATTTTTAAGTCATGAAATTAATGTAAGCGACATCTAACGGCGACGGAGCTTTGCTATTTCGTTTACAAATTGAATCAGGGTTAGTCAAAGATGATTTTGGGATGAATCTGAATCTGAATCCACCTTACAAGGAGTTACGACTTACGATTGACACTAGTCAATCCCAAATCCTCCAATCGATCGCAACTTCACAGTCTCCTATCTCAAAGGTTGTTAGGTACACAGCCGAGACTGATTTCAAGTTGCGATCAACTAGAATCATAACTCTCAGACATGGTTTAATATACAAGACGCCAGGACTAAATACGCCTTTATGAAAATCGGACTCTATATAAATAACGATAATAAAAACAGGGGTATCTGTCAATACATCAATCTATATTTGCATCTCTCGACCCAGATAAAGTAAAATATGTACGTTAAAGAAGAATCCACGACATTTTATCTGGGTATAGCTAGGCTAGGGTCGGGTTAATAATCCCAAACTAGGTAAAAGCGCAAAGATAAAAGTCATTTGATAAATAATAATAATATGTGATATGCGTTATACACCGTGGTGTAGCGTAAGTCCATGCCTTGAGGGGCGGGGGCATTGGTCTTACTCGAAAAGGGAAATGCAAATTTAATACAAGGCTACTGGTCGGGGGGGGGGGCGTTTGAGAGGTGGTCAAGAAATTTTTGTCGACCTTCCCCCCTTTTTCTTTCCTTCTTTTGACGCTTTTTTCGGGGGGGGGGGGGAGTCGGGGTGGGATTGTGCCGACTAGGACTTAAGTGAAGGACATATTCCGAGACAATCCTTTCATCGGCCCTTGAATTTGACTCTGAGGTCGAGGTAAGGTCGACGAGCGTTCCAGCGAGTTCGAGCGGTTTCTCGATGTCGGACCTCTGTCATCGAGGTAACCACTGTCTCTTGTGATCTCGTCCAAGGATTCTCCGAGCATGTGATCAGTGACCTCGAGGCGTGGTTCAATGACCTCCATCCAGTAGCTCAGTTTGCGTGTCTTCTGAAAGGTGCTCCCATGGTTGTCGAATTTCACAACGTCTAGGAGAATTAAATTTGAGGCACGATATTCATTACATGAGAAAGGTTCAATTCAGTGAGGGATTTTTAAATTATTCAAGAAATGGCATCCTTTGTATTAATCTGCATTTTACCCTTTCACTTCGCTACAGTGATTCTGACGCAAAAACAGCAATAATCTGTTGGAAGAATCTCAGAATCTTCAGAAAGTCAACAGGAGAGTATGAAAGCTTGCCTACTAAACCTTTAGACTGATAGAGAAGCTATAATGGTTACTTCGGCCAAATAAAGTTTTCAGTATTGTCCATATTGATTCGGATAAGCATTACGTCTGCGTATATAATATCGGATTTATTCGACTCAGATTTCCTTGTTGAAAAATTGTTTTGACTTAGTCACATAATCAGTGGCGTATTTGTAAACTAATTAAGGGGGGCAGAGAGTTTCTGTGATACGGAAGGTATCCACACTTGCCTTACAACCTTGTAAGTATAGCAGGATTTATTTGTATACGCCTTTTAAACGGGTGGGGTGTACATCGGCTCCATTTCATGCTAAAGTAGGTCCAGTTTTCATTTCAGTTCGAATACATTAGGGGGAAAACTATTCAAGTCACAACAATATTTTAGTTATCTTGAAAAATTATGCATTTTTCAAAGATTAGGAGACTGAAATGAAGGGTGAGTGGGACGGAATATACCTGCGTTACCGAAAGCATGACAGACCCTTGTGTCTTATACTGATTTTCTTTCCTCTTAGCCTTCAAATGGATAGGGGCGTACTCCACATTTTGCTGGAAACGCCACAATGCACATAATTACTTACACAATCCTGGCTCTTCAAAGAGGATTTCTCCGTCCTCTGGCACGATATGACTGTTATATCTCTTCTCCTCTAGGATGAAAGTCTTCTCTCCTGAAGGCAAGAATCGGTAGATCCCGAAAGCGATGTCGTGAGATTCCGTTTTGAATTCGTATCTAATCATCAGAAAGGAAATGTAGTATTATTTTTTTAAAGCAATTTATTTCTGAAAATCACCACGATTTCACTTTTACAAGTACAATGAACGAAACAATTTTATATTCAGTATGATTCTAATGAATTCGCCCCAACATGAGATGGAATAAACTCCCTTTTATCACATTCAGCTGATGAGCCCAGTACAGTTTACTATCTAGAATTTGACAAAATTTAGTGAGAGAGTGAGAGAGGGACAGAGAGAGAGAGAGGGAAAAAAAGAGTGAGAGAGAGAGAAAGAGAGAAAGAAAAAAAGAGTGTGAGAGAGAGAGAGAGAGAGGGGGGGGGTAAAGCACTTTGGGTGTGCATTACCATTTAAACAGTTTTCCTTCTTCAGAATAAAACGCAACCTACCTGAATATGCTACCGAGTGTCTTGACTTTGTACTTGATCTCAATCGACCTCTTACCCGGAAGTTGTTGAGATGTCATGTCAGCATGTGTGAGGTCACTTCCCTTCTTGTAATAAAACGACGGAACTTTCCCTCCTAGGTTAATCTGTTAGATCATAACAAAGAAAATGTAATTATGATGTACACCGCTAACTACATTAAAATATAATTGCTTTAAACTATCACCATGTGCTGGATACCCTACCGTATATTTTATACAAGTTTCAAAATTCTTTATTTTGAGGGTGATAATTGTGTAGGCTATTTCATCAATGCGGGATTGATCATACCTTGCTAGGGCACATGTTAGGGTTGCCATCAGTGTCTGTCATGGTTCCTCCCCAATGAACCGGAAGGACTTCAGCATCTATGTGCTTCAGAAGAACGTCACGCCAGTTACCTGTAGAGAAAACCAGGAATAAGACAAGCCTTCAATATGATGTAAGACTAACTGTACATGATAGAATGCATAGTAATATACTATCATGTCACAAGGGCGTCAATTATATCCCCAATACATTCAAATACAACAAAACGGAAACGTCACTCTTTGATGGGGGGGGGGGGACATCTCATGCCATTCAAAAAGTTTGGAAAGGCTAGTGAAATAAAGTGTTTGTTGCATATGGATCAAGAAAATTGTGCCTATAAATTGTGTTCTCCATTTTGGGGGGCACTTAGATTGTCTCAATCATCCGATTATCCCGCCGATTAATTCAGTTTAGTTCAATTCACGTTTTTATTATGTAAACATGCATACACAAATACACAAAATATTGAGAGATACAATCCATCGCGGCTAAACACCGAAAACAGATTGAAACCATGGAGTATAAGGTAAAATGAGCGTATGAACAAGAAAGAAATATCAAGTTACAATATTTTGTTTAGATCTGATACCACTACCATGACCACTGTCTTCAAGTCACGTATAAAATTCCACTTTATATGAGAATCAATATTATTGAGGGAGACATACCGCCCAGTGCATGCATCTTGGATCTGGTGCCCTCATCGAGGAATGGTTTGAGGAGGAAGTAGACGGCAGGAAAGATCTTGGTAGGTCGCACGATGTACATACGATGGATGATTTCGGGATAATGCTCTTCGAACAACGAAGCGATCTGGGGGTTAAAATCATAATATTTTCATAAACTATTACTTAGCAGACAACTTTCTCGAATTGGAACAAGGGATGTATTTTGTCCAGTCATTAAGAGGGTACTGGTGGCATAGGGAAGGTGTCATGGGGGAGGGGTCATGGGGAAGGGGTCATGGGGGAGGGGTCATGGGGGAGGGGTCAAGGGGAGGGGTCATGGGGGAGGGGTCAAGGGGGAGGGGTCAAGGGGAGGGGTCATGGGGGAGGGGTCATGGGGAGGGGTCATGGGGGAGGGGGCTCCGTCTAACTACGTGGATGGCATGCGAGAGGAAAAGAAGGCCGATCAAATGAGGGGAATTTTTGTATTATTTTATTGTTGAAGGTTGTATTTTCATTTCACTCTACCTTCCGGTTCTTCCATTCTCTCTCTCTCTCTCTCTGTCTCTTCCTTCCTCCCTCCCACTCTCTCTCTATCTGTATGTGTGTGTGTGTGTGTGTCTCTCTCTCTCTATCTCTCTATCTCTCTCTCTCTCTGTCTCTTCCTTCCTCCCTCCCACTCTCTCTCTATCTGTATGTGTGTGTGTGTGTGTGTCTCTCTCTCTCTATCTCTCTATCTCTCTCTCTCTCTGTCTCTTCCTTCCTCCCTCCCACTCTCTCTCTCTATCTGTATGTGTGTGTGTGTGTGTCTCTCTCTCTCTATCTCTCTATCTCTCTCTCTCTCTGTCTCTTCCTTCCTCCCTCCCACTCTCTCTCTATCTGTATGTGTGTGTGTGTGTGTGTCTCTCTCTCTCTATCTCTCTATCTCTCTCTCTCTCTGTCTCTTCCTTCCTCCCTCCCACTCTCTCTCTATCTGTATGTGTGTGTGTGTGTGTGTCTCTCTCTCTCTATCTCTCTATCTCTCTCTCTCTCTGTCTCTTCCTTCCTCCCTCCCACTCTCTCTCTATCTGTATGTGTGTGTGTGTGTGTCTCTCTCTCTCTCTATCTCTCTATCTCTCTCTCTCTCTGTCTCTTCCTTCCTCCCTCCCACTCTCTCTCTATCTGTATGTGTGTGTGTGTGTGTGTGTCTCTCTCTCTCTATCTCTCTATCTCTCTCTCTCTCTGTCTCTTCCTTCCTCCCTCCCACTCTCTCTCTATCTGTATGTGTGTGTGTGTGTGTCTCTCTCTCTCTCTATCTCTCTATCTCTCTCTCTCTCTGTCTCTTCCTTCCTCCCTCCCACTCTCTCTCTCTATCTGTATGTGTGTGTGTGTGTGTGTGTCTCTCTCTCTATCTCTCTATCTCTCTCTCTCTCTCTCTCTCTTTTCCTTTTCGCAATTTTGGTTAGGGTGGTGGCGTGTGTCCCTGTGCCGCTTTGCCTCTCGGGATATTACGCAACAAAGTGACGGTAGTGAATGAAAATCGCATACACTTTGCGTTACGATTTTCCTCACTACCGTCACTTCGTGAAAATAGGGACTTTTACTATGCAAAAGTGATAGAATAAGGATAACATTTATCATCGCAATGTTCTATCTATACATGGAATTGAAATAAGGTATGCAATTCAATGCGACCAATATAGGCAGGAATAAAGCGAAAGGGACGGAGAGAGAGAGAGAGAGAGAGAGGGGGGGGGGGGGGAGAAAGATTTGTTTTAAAAATAAATGCAACTTGTTTGTGATAATGAAATCCAAATGATTATGTAACATACCTCAGTCATGACTTTCATGCCTGGTTTCCATATGTGACCTGCGCCTAGGTGTTCAAGATCGACGATGAATGTGATGCCCTCAATGTGACGACCAAGCTAAGGATTAAAAACAACAACGATACTCAATCATATTTCAATACATATCTTGCTTGGACGTATGTCTTCAATATATTTGATCCATGACGAACTGTAATGGCGTTAATCCCTTAAAACATTTTCTCATTTTATTTATAGTCGTTCCTCCTAGTTTCTTTGATATCTTTCTTGATAGCAATTTTTTATTCTTTTTTCTAACTTATCTTTACATTTTAAAAATTCAGATTTTCACACTCATCCCTTGTCTGTCTCAGTCTTTTAATACCGTATATCGTTATCTCATTGTCTTTCTTCATCTAACCATCCCTCTTCCTCCATCCCTCCTCTCCTTCTCTATCTCTCCATCTCTCACTTAGTCTTCCCCTATACCTCTCTCTCTCTCTCTCTCTCTCTCTCTCTCTTTCTCTTCTCGTTTGTTATATACCTTCTTAGAGATGATCTTCTGTTCATTTACAAGTCTTTCCAAGATGCTGATATTTGTTTTCACGATGTCTCCAGCCTTTACTGAGTACAGCATACCTGTAAACAAATGATTACAAATTGCTTTCTATTCAGAAGCAATAAGGTGCTTCGCTGACTTTACTGTGAATGCGGCGTGACAGAAAGCCAGACATGCATGCGACAATGCAAATAGAAAATGCTTTCAATTTATGTAGCTTTATCTGTTTTTGAAATAAATTAATTAATTGATAAATAATCTTTTGTATAATTACACGAGGGAGTTTTATATTTTTGCAGCTTCGCCAGTCACAAGAGGCTACGATTATACAGTAAAGCTGGAACATTCCCTTTAATTGCATGTCAAACGTATTACGAAAGCATTTTATCCTCTTTTCTAGGGCACAGACGTAAATGACTGAAAACGTTTTTATCTACACTATCATCTCACCTTTAGGATCTACGTTACCAAGAGGAGCTATCCATACCACGTGACCATCCTTGTCTAATCCCGTCGCTCCTCCTGGCCAATACTTCAAGCAAGGCTAATCGAGCGAATGAAATTAAGGGGAAGCAACATAATTTGTCATAAATTATTGAATTAAGATGTGCTCTCCTTAAATAGCTTTTATTTCTTATTGCACTGTCTATTATTAAAGGCAGGGTATGTTATAGAGCTCGCTACCACTGCTTTAAGGTATTTTCACTTTGCGCCATCTTTTGATGAAGGCGATTTCCGGTTCCTGTATACCCAAGGAGTTCCAACTCCCTGCTGTACGTAAGCAAGTGAACTCTACACTACGCAGTATGAGTTCAGTCACCCAAACATCATCATTAGAATAACCTGACTTTTTAATGTACAAGACAAGATTTATTTATACCCTTTCATAGGAACAAATGAAAATGAAAATGGACTTCGGCTCGCCACTGATTTGCCGTCAGTCTATGAAGACCTATACATGCATACAATATTATCATCATGATGAAAGAATGAGAAAAATGGAAAGAAAGGTTTCACTTCCCCCATCAAAGTAAGTTTTAGCTCCTTCTATCACCTGATTGACTGATACTGCAGATATTGCGAAATTTTACATTTGAACCAGATCTATGAAATTTTGTTCATAAAACAGTAAAAAGATACCTAACCTCACAAAATGATTGTTAACTATAATTGAACTCATTTTTTTCTCTTTAAACTCATCCCTTTTTATTAGAGTTATATAAGGTTACAGTTAGCATATGAATGAAATAACACGTCGAAATAACATTACCTCTGGTATCTCATACCAGTCGTGTATGCTGTCGATATTGTTCTTTATTCGCCAATCCAGATCCTATAAACGAGGGGGGAAATAGGGTGGCTCAAGTTTAATTAAAGTGGGGTGGGTATTAAATTGAACTTTGACCTGTAAGAAAAGTTCTTTTCGTTAAAGAACCTTGCTCTGTTATTGCCTCGATTTTTTGTATTATTAAGTGCATGTATCGTTACTCATCCATCATGATTGATTATGATGATCATGATAATGATAACTACAATTTGGCTATCTACTCTGTCACCACCACAACAAGCAAGTGACATATTATAAAACGTAACCAAACAATTAAAGATTTATTGAAATAATATTCTACGGACTTACTCTATATCATAACTCAACTAATATATCAACAGCATGTAACACAAGGATGAAATCCTTGGAAATGATCGCTGTTTCGATGAAAGTCTTTAAAAAATGATTTGTAACATTAATTTTACCGGCTAGACCTCCCTTTGATACTGTCGTTGGCGGATACAGGCGATAGGGGGGTGAGGGCAAGTGCCCCTGCCCCTTCCCCAACAAAAATTAAAATCTGACATACAAAATGTGCCACCATAATTTTGTGCCTTGTGGATATTTTTTTTTCTCCCTCAAAAGGCATCTGAGAATGTGCCATTGCTGTTGTTGTTGCTTTTCGTACATTTCTTTTAGAATTGCCCACCCCCCCCCCCCACCCCCGGCTCAGTCAGAAAATCTTTGGTCCGCCATTTCTCGAAAGTGAAAGTCTGAAAGAAGATTAAAGATGACTCCATGATCGTTAGAGAACTTGTTAATCACCCGGATCAAGTTATATATTGCCTTTGAATGCATCAATATCACTCCTAAAACCTGAGTATCATTCTCATACTGTAGGTCACTGGAAAATAATGTACATGTATGCCAAGACACAACTTTATAGATATTAAATGTTGATATTTTGTGATATTTCAAGTTATATGGGAATGCAGTATTCTCCCCTGTATACCCCTTATTTTCAATTTTCTTACCCGACGGAATTTCTCCTCTGCTTTCTTCACGTTGAAACGGCATGCTAAGAATACAATCATAAAATGAAGGTAAACAAAATGAGGAAAGATTTTTGAAAGCTGGCAAGAAGAATACTTTTACACACCGATGTTTAAAAGTTGTTTTCTCTGTCTTAATTATTTTCCTCTATTTCAATATTTGTTTATCCTCTACAATCGGGTTTTCTTTTTTCTCTCCTTTCTTTACCTCATTCTATGTCATTATACTATATCTGTCTCAGAGCACATATACTTTTAACATAATGAAGTCCTGACTTATCCCCATATTTACACCAAGTCTCCTTTCTGTATTAACAGTAATGATCATTTTTTCTTCCCTTTAAACATTTTATGTGACTACGAAACAGGTTCATGTATCGTAAGTATAGTTTCACCCGCTTGCAAGAGACTATCAATGACCGGAAGGAAAGTATGAGGATGGGGGGGGGGGGGGTTGCTTCTACTTTGAAAGGGGTAGCGTACACCCAACCACCCCTCCCCCTCTCCTCTCCGAAGAAAAACACAGAACACATCGAACTAAGTTCCACCCTTACATGATGCACATGTACATTCATCAAAGATGGCAGAGTTAGTTCGAAGAACTCCTCAAAACTATCGGGAAAACAAACCTGTGTATTGCAAGCTATACTTACCTGAAAAACAATTTTAATCATCTTTAAATCTCTTTGAAATATGATAAACACTACGATCATTTCTAGCTTTGCCATGCATCATCCCAATCGCCGATTATAACAGTATACATAATTAATTTCCAGTAAGAAACCGTTGTTTGGTCATGCGTAGAGGCCTATTCATCATTCAAACAGGCTAAAATGTGATTATAACTAGCATTTATGAATAGTTTTAACAAATGAATTCTTTAAATACATCTTTAGATGTTCTGAACATTCTTTACTTTTGCTGATATGAAGTCCTTACCTCTTAAGAATCTCAACAGGCAATGGTCATCATGCTTTTCTTGTAATACATCATCAAGGTTGGTTCTAATCTGCAAAGTAATTTAGATTTGACAGAAATTACATTTCACTGAAATATTTTGCAGCATTCTTAGCTCAAGAATAATAGCCTAAAGCTTTCTAAAAAAGTCAGCTTTGCTGGAACGCAGTTTAGATCAAAGAGAATTATATCCAAAAGTTGGGATATTGGATAAGAATATTTGCTCAAGTAAAACAAATTTAATGCATGTCATGGCTATTATGCAATAGACAATTTGATTCAGTAAACACATAGTTTCACTTTCTAATAGAGTGAACAGTCATTAGCTCTGACCTTTTAGTAAATTTATTCGTTGTTTTGTCTTCATACCTTGCCATCTTAAATAAAATTTGTATTCTTTTGTAGTATTTGGCGCTGAGGGTATTGCACTAAAAATTAAAACCAAAAGACTTCAATTTTGACGCAATCACCTCATAATGTCTGACGAATAACACATTACAATAAAATAAATTCCTTTTCACCCCTACCCTGATCACGGTCTGTTGACTGTATACCCTCTGGTCCAGTTACTCAGTAATCAAACTCGTGATAAATGCAATAATTAGATTTAGATGTCTAATATAAAACCAAACGTCATAATTATACTTACTGCTTTGAGAGCATCTGCCTGTTTGGCGTTTAAATCCGACAAAGTCCCACTCATATTTCTGCCCTTTCCCTCTCAAGTTATGGCACAAAACAATCTCAGGTATATATTATCATGCAGTACGAGTAATACTCATATAACCTTGATTTGTTGATACGTCTAATATGCATACGTCATGACGTATCTATACCAATCTGTATGAGGAAGTAACGAGTATAATATTGATATCTCGCGATGCAAGGTGGCGTAGCTATAAGGCGCACGTGCCTCCTCCTCCCCCCCCCCCCAATCGAATGACGAAGCAAATACGGACCAACCAGAAACAGAGAAAAGGAGAGAACATATTTGGAAGAAAGGATAAGGACACTGATATCCTAGCGTTGCTGGTATATCAGTGATCGGGAGAAGAAAAGAAGATGATTGAACGATAGAGCCTTCTCCCGCACCTTACCCCTAATCAATAATTTTGTAAATTCACATTTTATTTATCAAGAAAGACCGGACCCCCACCATCCCCAATACAAGTGCCAAGTCCCTCATATTGTTCCACGGAAGCCCCTAAGGGAGGGAGGGGTAAGCTTATACTACTCCATAAAAGAAGGGTAATATTAGTTTAAACCGAGGCTCTCAATACCACTAATCACTATATTATTATCTTCCCCCTCTTTGTTTTAACCTGTAAACGGGAGGGGGGGGGCAAGCCTAAGGGAGGAACAAACCCGGTTTCGCTCTGTGAAGAAAACATCATGCCATAGTAAGGCATTAATTAGGCTCCTTATAGAGATTATGAGAGGGGTTCTATTATAGTAATTTAAAATCAAATCATTGTGAAAATAATGCAAAATATGCAAGGAACTAATTATCATTAACATTTTTTATGGTTGGTTTATTGTAAAACACATTAAACGTACAGCTTGATATAAAAATCAAGTATTGATCAATACAAGATTGGAATAAACATGCATGATATATAAAATAAATATTGAGGAATCTACTTATCATACTCTAATGTTGTATGGGCTAATACATATTCTTCCAAATTGGAAGCCATTTTTATATTACAAAAGAGATTTGTTAGAATTGCCTCATCATCTTCATACTTGGCACATACTAAACCCTTATTCATAAAGTTAAGCATACTGAACATTTATAAATTAAATAATTATTTTAATGCAATACTACTTTTTAAACACAAGCTTGGTTTATTACCCAATAATTTATGCATTATGTTAACTTTAAACTGTTCAGTTCATAATTATAATACTCGAAACAAAATGAATTATTATTTATCTGCTATTACAAAACAATATGAATTACACTCTTTTAGACACAAAGCTCCTTCTGTATGGAATTCCTTACCGTCAGACATTACTTCTATTAATAGCCTGAACTCATTTAAAAGAAAGCTTAAATTATATCTTATTTCTAATAATCTTACATCATAAAAACACTCAATTACTCCACAATGCAAATTTGTTTAGGGTTGTGCGGTCTACATGTATGTTTTTGTTTTTGCTTATGTTCTACTTTGATTTGTTTTGTTTTGTTATTTTTTGTTATTGTTTATTCAAATACCATATATCATTTGTATGATTCCTATACTGTTTTTTTTCAGGTGGCTGTCCAGACAAACCCTCTAGGGTTTTTATACAGCAACCTAATTCCTATTTGTTTGTTTTTACTGTCAATATTGTACTATGTTAATCATATTTATGTAAAAGTAATATTTTGATGTCATCGTTTTTGTTTCTTTTACTATGGAATTAAATAAATACTGAACTGAACTGAACTGAATCAAATTTAAAATTCATACTATACATTCTCATTGAAATGACATTCTTAAAAGTAGATGGAGAATATCGTTGATTTGGTATACTACTACTACTACTTCTACTACTACTACTAGATGTCAGACATTATATACGGGGGATGAAATAATTCCCCATATACCTTTCCACATTTACACCAGGTTTATTCAAGTAATCACAGATTATTCGATTATGAGTAAAGTCTACTAAAAACAAACAAAACACTTTGTCTTCGTCTGAGTGCAGACTTTGCCTTCGATGTGTGGTGTAAGATCAATATCATGGACATTTATCATTAAGATAACCACGCACTGCATTTATTAGCGACATTGTCTTCGTAAGACCGCAACAATGATTTTCAGTTCAGTTCAGTTCAGTTTTTTTTTAAGAATATAGATAAAATTTGATTACTCACACTTCTAATTATAGTCTCTTAATCAATTATGTTTGCTGTAACGTATCTAAGTTTTCTTCAATTAAAAAAATACTTCCTCCTTCAATTAGGGATTTTTGTTTCCATTAAAGGTTTGTTTACAATTTCAGAAATAAAAATCAGAGGTCGACCTTACAAGTAGGGGTATCTTTAGAAAAAGTAGAATATACATTTTGGATTTGATTGAGAGTCAAGAGAATAAATATTTATACCATGATGCTGCCAGCTATATATCCTAACTATTATCTAAAGATTACGAAGGCTTATCCTTTATGTGTAAATGCTTTATATCTTGTTATTTCTATAATAATCACTATTAACTTGTTATCACTATCAGTTAAATATCTGGTCTTGCAACAAGTTCAATGTCAATTTTCTTTTTCAAAGTAAGAGTTAATAAAACAATCCAATAATTATTTGTAGGTAAGCCATTACAAGATATTACGTATAATACTGCAATAATATTTACATCATTATCAGTCCAATAGATAACTGTAAAATCACAGTAATTAGACATACAAACATCTGGCTCCTTGTCAGTAAGTAAAAGAGAGGGCGCCATTTACAAATACACTGCTGGTAAGTTGACATTTTGAGTTGATCTCAATCCCTTCAATCTTGCTACATCATAGTCCTTCGGATATTAATGTTACTATTCAGCATTTCTGATGAGTACAATACAAATTCCTCCGAATACTCTATATATCCGGTTCAATGTAATAATATATGAAATTTTACTCCATGAAAATGCAAAAATTGCAAAAAATGTATAACACGACAACAAAGTTATCGACAATCCTTTACAAAAAAATGTATTATTACCTTAAATTCAAATTGATCAAAAAGCAGAAATGTGATACCGCATACCAACTAAGTTTTAAATGCTGCGGCGTTTTCAAAGAATTTATATTTCCATCATAAAGGTAAAAAAATAATAAATAAAACAACTGCTAATAAGTAATATGAAGAGGGACACGAAAAGTTCATGATTTTCTAACATGTGTTACGATTCACCAGAGATGGCGCTGTCGGTGAAACTGACTACGAGCCATCTATACACAGAGTTTGGCCAACTTGGTTTCACTGGGTCACAACATGGCGTATATCCTTTTGTTTTGTGCTCGCCCAACAAAGCAGTAGTCGCCATATTGTGTCCAACTCGAACCGGGTTTGCCAAACTCTGTGTATAGATGGCTCTGAACTGACTTAGTGTCCAAACTCAGTGATATCATAGGATGTCTATGATGGAACTCCTTGACCAAAAAAGAAATACAGATTAATTTTGTTTCTAAAATCGGAGAGACATCCGAGGATGAGAAATGATTTACTGGGTATTGAGAAAAGGAAGAGGGGGAAGAAAGAGAGAAAAAAAAAGAAGAAAGATAATTAAATGCGGTATAATGCTACTCTTCCACTTACAATAAAATATTACTTTTATCGATATCTTACTTTGTTTAAAATTGTCATATTGTATGATTCAATTAGACCAGGGATTCATTCCCATTACATTATTCTCAAGCTCGGTGCCACTCAAAATAGGCGTACAAGACATGAAAGGGGTAAGGGGGTGAGGGGGCTGAATTTTAAATCACCAATATTCAGGCAACCGTCACCTCTTATTCGGACATTACAACTTTCATTAAATCCTAGCTGCACTAGTTTGGCCAGGAGGGATTAGACCTCCCTGCATGGTCACCGACAGGTGGTTATCTTATCAAATCAGCTCTTAATAGAAAAAGGGGATCAGGGGGGGGGGGGGACCAATGGTCACCGATTAGGCATTGTTTGCTATATAGAGGGCGCAAGTATAGCTGTAATGTGTATGATCGAATCTCTTTGGTAAGTAGTTCAGTGGGGCTGTAAACATATTCTATAAGTTATCCATATAGTCTGTTCTCCAACAAGAAAAGAAAGGAAGAACCAATATGATTATAAGACATCTGAGATATATACATACTTATATTATGATGAGTTATTATGCAGGACTATTTTTTAGTCATTTTCAGACACAGACCATTCTTACCATAATAGAAGTAATTACTGCAATGCCTTTTAAAAATACTTTTGTCTTCATTTCGTTGTTTCATTAACATGTTAATGTGTTAACTATCAGCGTAAGAAGAGAAAGCGATAATCATACAGGATATTTCAGCTAACCCAAGATGTCATTACCTTTATAATAACATTATGTCAATGAGGAATTAGTGAACGAACAAGGAGACTAATCACATTAAACTACTCTATCAAATATAACCAGACCGTGGCTTGCAAGACGGATATGTTTAAAGGCAGAGTACTAAAAGGTTTAGGAGAAAAGGTAAATGTTGATGACTCCGTGACGGGACTCTCAGTTATTATTGTTGTTGTTGTTGTTGTTGTAATTGTAGTTATTGATGTTGTTGATATTTTTTGTTGGTGTATATAATCTATGCTCGGGCAAATTTCGTATCACTAGCACAATAGCGTGTTCCGATTACAATAAATGTCTATTGGGGACCTATGTCATGTCTGTATGAAAAAGTGAACGTATGATTGCTATGACGGCGTCGCCCAATCTTTAAAGGATTGTGTGCGAGGGGTGGGGCGCAAACTCATTTCTCGGAAATATATACACCGTGATAATGTTATGACGCAATGAACCACACAGGTGTTCGGAGATCATTACACCTATTTTTAACCTTACTGAAATTCTTGAGAATGTAAAATTTCAACAGCATATACAAGCATTGCATGTATACATAAACATGTAAACATTTAGTTCTTGAATATGATAATAAAATAACGGAAGATCATAAATACGAGCTAGAAGTGCGTCTATTTGGAGTCTTCTTCTTCTTCTAAGCACTATCCTCAAGAATGCCAGGTACTCTACCTTTAAAGTTCCTCCATGTTGTATAGAGTCCATGCTTGCCGACAGAGTAATAACAAAGTCAAGCCAAAAGGATATCCTGTTAAAGGAGATCAAGGGCGTAGGCTACATTCTGACACTCAGCTGAAGGCATCCAAAAAATGATTTGGGATCTATATCTCGAGCCATTTCTGGGGGTTATCATTGTTTAGAGCCGCATGTTGTGCCATCCATTGTCTTTATTGATTCTAATTGGTTCATTTACATCCTTTTTTCCTTTCCATGTTTTATATCCGTAACTTTGTCTTTCTCTACGCTTACTTGTGTGTCTGCTTCGTTATACTTTTCTCTTCTTTTCACCTTTTTCGTTAGTATCATGATTTGGCTCATTGTGTAATTTTGTCATATAATGGGATTTTTTTCTGTCACTCTGACATCACTCGAAGACGTGGAAACATATTTTGAAACATTATGCTATCGAGAAGGAAACAAAAGGGGGTTGCTATGTTCGTGTTTGTAAAATTTAATCGTGCTTATATCCATAATCATGATAATGATTTTCTACAGTAGCTTGACTTTGGTAATTTTACTTTTGTTTCACCTTCTTCATTTGTTCCCCCCTCTCTCTCTCTCTCTCTCTCTCTCTCTCTCTCTCTCTCTCTTGTTTTCGAAGTGTTCCAATACTTTGATTTTCCTTTACATTGTCATTTTGTCTATTCTCCATTTCTCTTAGACATGAATTTATACACCTGCTTGCATGGAACATAAAAACACTGGAAGAAAGTATATGATTGTACTTGAATGCTTTTATTTCTAGTGCTTCAACTCCCCGCCATTTCCTTAGAGAAATGCCAAGAATAATATAAACCGCTAAAGGGGAAAATAAAGATATAACACCTGCCACCTGTATTCCCGTCTGTGCATTATATCTAACGGTAATTCACCAAAATAGAGTCATTGTCGTTTCCTGAAAGGAAAATATTAGGCTAAATAACACTGGTATCCTGCTACCATTTTTTGTTGTTTATTATTACCATTGTTGCTATTATTTTGTTCCTGTTGTTGCTGTTGTTGTTGTTATTATTCTAGTCAACCTTCCTACGCGGCCATTTTCTTTTTAGTGTATCATAACAGATTGACGCGTCAGCAATTTCCTCCAATTTAACCCTGCTATGGCGAACCTTAACCCGTCTAATTGGTTCTGTCTTTCAGTAGTAATGAACCAAGGAAGTCATTACAGCGTACACGTTACATGCTAATTGACAAACTATTCTGAGAAACTATGTACGTTAGTGGAAAAAGAAACAATGACAAGGGAATATAATTATTATGATTCCGGTTTTGTTATAATATGGACAGACCTATAAAAAACAAAGAAATAGATTATCTATGTCATGTCAAGTTTAGCTCTTCAGCTCTCGTGTTATTTGTTTAATTAAGGAAGAAGACAAACAAGAGAGAAAATCGAGAATAAAGTAATATGAATATTATAAAATTCAAAATGAGTGTGCATGAATAAGAACAATCCAAAGTAAATGTTGAAATTACTGTTAAAAACTATTTCAATGTAACAAAAAAACTATAGTATAAAAAAAAAACTACAAAACTCTAGTATAAAACCAAGCAATAAACCCTTTTCACACTTCACTTTTACTTTGCCGGTAATTAGAGTGCAATTGTGGAATATCAGTTTAGTAGGTAAATTTTAAGAAGCAGGGAGCATGGATACGTGTATATTGATATCGCTTTGGGAGTTGAAATGGCAAATATCAGCCTGGAAAATATATACACTATGTTGTAGTTACCCCTCACTGAAAAGAGCAATATTCACTTTTGTAGCACTGATCTATTTCTATAACTCATACTTGTTTGTGTCATGAAGGGCCTCAACGAAAAAATTATTTGCTGATTGGGCTACCCTTCTTTTTAAAGATGTGTAATAAATAAATAAATAAAAAGTAAACCATTCTGATATTTCTTCAAACTGTATAGGCACTGACAGCTAAACATTTTGTACCCAACAATAACATTATTCATTCCGAAACAAACATGACGAATAAACATTCTTCTACAACATGACGAATAAACATTCTTCTACAACATGTGAAAAATCGATTAACAACTAAGTTACCAATGTGATAGAATAAGTCCATAAATAATCTTTGATGAACTAATGGCTGTCGCTATCGTTTTTGTATACAAAGGTATCGACGGCACATAGATGACCATGGAAGTTAGCAATAGGTTATTAGGCCCCAACACCGTGTTGTAGTTTTAAGTGAGTCTGGATTTATGTGTATAGCAGACGATCAACCACACTGCAATAATTAGTGGAAAATGACTCGAAATCCTCCCGCGTAGTTACTCTACATAGCGCTGCTTCTCCAAACCAAGTCATACACTGCTTTCAATATTATGCATGTAACCGATAACAGCATGGTCTCAGCGAACTCCTGAGAATGTTTCCTTCCGATTCGTACGTTGGCCGATGCTTCACCTTCGCATCGCGTTCTCGTTAAGTTTCAACCAATTAGGTCTCGTCACACGTACCCATCGGCTAAACTCAATAAAGATTTGACCAATCGGAGATATTGTTTGATGAATAATGGCTTAAGTCTCGTAATCTATAATGGCTACTACCTTCCGCTTTTTATATGAAGTCTATGTCAAGTTTGTTCTAGACTGTCAAGAAGGAAGTTATCATTTAATTCATTTTAGAACACTACCCTGTCCTGCAGAGAAATCACTAATTTGTTTAATTGTGCCTACTGTCTTGTGTCATAAGCTTTCAATACACGCCATTTATAAATGTTTTTAGAAACCCAGAAGCATGTCATAATTGAGTTTATAAAATTAGAATGGGAGCACTCTAAGGTGCCATGGGTCAAAGTATTCAAACATTTCATTAAGAAGCAAACAAGCAACCAGTTCCCAATCCTGTGTTCTTGGACATAGACATGTAAACTGGAAATATCATATTGCAGCTTTTTGAATAGTGTTCAAGTGATTAATATTGTCGTGATGATATGCGTTCTATCTATTTCAAGTTTTTAAAACTTGTGTGTTTATAACGGAACGAACCATGGATGAAGAGTATTCGACATGATTTCCACCGTGCTTAAAATGAAGTCTCAAATGTGTTTGTAGATTGTTATAGTTATTGATCGCTCTATCTCACTCTTATAACTATTGGAAGCTATCTTCTTGATGTCTTCATATCAGATTTCTGTTCTACTTTGGAATGTAGTTTGCAGGTAGCAAAGTTTTTTTTAAACCAGATAAATGCATCGAATTTCTATCCAGTAGAAACCTGATTGAGAACTACATCACATTTTCGATCACCTATACTCACCATACAAGGAGACTCAACTCGTGGCCTTAATATCAATTAAGTGATTCAGAAGAGGAGACAGGTGGAAACGAAAGAGGGGGTCTAGGTCTACGTCCTGTCTCCATAGTAACCTGCTTCAAAATATAATTCAAACAAACTTCACCATCGTCGGGCCCGCGTGATTGAATAATGATGACGTCATTCCTGATCCATGCAATGGGATGAAACTGGAACAAGATGGAGAGCTGTCTGACACTCATTAGAATCCTGCTCGTCATAGATCTTGATATCAAGACCAATTCATATCCTCATCCTTAACCTCCAGGGTTCATCAAGACCTGGTATATTCTATTTTTGAGGTTTAACATTAAGCGAATAATCCTGTTGAGGGTGTCCTAGAATTACGATCGGAACGAATGCTTGTGATATTTCACAGCGAGGTTTGGACTGGGGGTTTATTTCCTCGGACAAGGCAACCTTAGATCATCTTCTTTGATTCAAGCCATTTCAACCCCAATCAATTTTGCAGGTCACGATTGTTTGCATGTTGGTTGTTCTGGAGAAAATGGGTTCTTAATCAAGATGTCCAAAGTTTGAAGGAAATATTTGAGGAAAATGTATATGTCAAAAGGCTAATCATTAATAAAATAACCCATTTCTATCCTCTATCTATACTTCAAATCATCATTTTCTAAGGGTTGCATTTATGACTACCGTGTATTCGATATTAGAAGCTGATATACAATAGTATTGAAACGAAAGCACTTTGAATCTATCAATGATTATGGGACAGCAAACATAGTGACAATAATGTAGAAAAACAACACTTTTAATCAATATAATACTGATAATAAGAGTAGAAGAATTTACTATAAATCTTTTGCTAGCATTTCGTAAATAAAATGTCAAAAGTTCAGTTTTCACTAGACAAAATCAATGAGACATTAAGACCCTAGACTGTTATAAAAACAACAGGCTTTTGATGAGTAATTAAGCTTGAGCGTGACAAATTTCATGCATTCTGTTAGATGTTGTTGTTTGCTTTATATTTATCATCTGTCACAGTGGGCTTGCGATGTTCAAATGGCGCGTGCAAACACCCCCTCCCCAGCGCAGAGCGGTGCTCACGTTTCCTGTAGAGAGAGGGGGCAAGGAGGGGCGTTCAAGCGAGGGTTCGGGGAGCGTGCCAAATTTAGATCCAAGTTGTTTGTCATCGGTTGTGACTCCTAGCTTGGCCAGTGGTGTTTCGATAGACAGTGCTTCATCTCTGAAGGCACACGCTTCAGACATTGATCTAGAAAGCAACATGGACGGTGGACACGTCCTGGGAGACGATAGGACGACGGCGAGGGCGAAATCGAGTAACGGAGTTTCAAACGAAGATTGCGGTGTTGAGAGTGATGTCTTTGGTGATTCGAAACACGATTATTTGAACAGAACGGATTCACAGGGTTATGAAACTTATGGTGTCGGGTTTGAGAGTTTCAGCAGCGATGCGTTTGGAGATTTGACCGCCGTTTTGGAAAATACGGACGGACTGGAAGATGACGACTACGAGGATGATTTCACCGACGATGAGGACGTCGATGAGGAGGGCGAGGAATGTTCACCGATGCTACCGGCCGCAGCACCAAGGAAATTAATGAGATATCCACGCATAGATGAGGATGATGGTTATGGGGATAGCTTTGATACCAGTGGGAAGGCAAAATCAATAGAGGAGGGAGAGACTGAGGATGGTAAGTTTTTAATCCATCACTCTTAAAAAGTACCATGTAAAATTGAATGTGCCATGAGGGTAATTATGCAGCCATCTAACTTTGGGAAACAACTTGGTTGATATTTTTCCCAATTTTAAGTTGGGTATGGAAAAAATTGGTTTTGATTTTTAAAAAACCGTGTGCTCGGCGAATCTGTACCCAATATTTGTAATACTTAAAACTTGTAAAACTGTATTCAAAACCCGTTTTGTAGATAGAGAGAGATGTGGGGGGGGGGGGTAAATTCTGTTTATATCTTAAGGCTGATGATGGAGTCGTCGGGTCTTATTACATAGCTTAATTTTTAATGTTAGATTTTTTCGGTTAGTTTTCATTTTTACATTATTATTGTGTTGTCTTTTGTGGAGTCATTGATAATCATCGCCCAGAAATACAGCTCCTGATGCAAATTCTTTGGTCAACGTTTGAAAAGTTTCAAATGCGTAAAATTGATGTTTTTTATGTTCCTCCTGTGATTTGTTTATTCTAATTAGTAAATAAAATGTTACTACACGTTTACGTAGCAACAATTAGATACAAACACATTTGGTACAAAAGACCGTGGAAGGAACACATCACAGAAGTTTTGAATCAACGAAGTGATAATATGACTAGATCTTGCTAAAAAATTACAGTGTAAGTCAGAGACTGCGCGAACATTTAGTGGCCTAAAATTTGGACGAAAGGTTGAGAAAACTTAAAAGCATATTCTTTTTTCAGATCGCTTTGCTACTATCACATTCTTCCGCATTGGAATTTAAAGAAATGGAAAAGATCACAAAAATGAATTCACCTCAACCTCAACTTTCCCTTCACCTTGAGACAGTAGAATATAGCATCCCGTGTAGTAACACTAGCTGCTACTGCGAGATTCTTCCATAAAAATGGCATAGAAATATATACATTTTAGAATAATGAGTTGAAAAGGCTCAAAGTTCTTTTCCTGAAACCATAATTTATCTTTAAATTGAGAAGGAATGAGATAGCATTCACTGTGACATTGCACTTTTATGTCCCGGATGATGTCATTGATTAAGTTAGATTAAAAAGACTGGATTTCCCCCCCAAACCCTCTACCGCATGACAGCTAATGATGAAGAAGGTTCCTGAACAGTGTTTATTACACCCTGATCATACATGAAAGTACCTTGGCAGTACGTGTTATGATTATATAAATTTCTAACCAACATTTAAGTATGACTATTCTTGAATGACTAGCAAGACAGTCTGGTCACCAAGACTTACGAAAAATAAGTGGGGAAAATGAAAAATAAGAATTGAAGTTGAATTTGAGGGTGATATTTTATAACATACATGAAAACGTTGATCTACACTCACACTCCACCACTTTTGGTTTTAAACTTTCATTTATATCAAAATATCAAAGTAATTTTTGTTATCCAGAGCCGATTTAAAAAAAACAGGCCTTCTCGTTCACAGCAGCAAAGTTATTCAACTCACTACCCATACTTACCAAATGTTCCGCCTCACTACCAATTTTTAAACGAAATGTCCGTGAAATTCAAGTGAGATGATTTTGCGATCGCTCACATGAAGTATTACTACCACCTCTCTCTCTCTCTCTCTCTCTCTCTCTATCTCTCTCTCTCTCTCTCTCTCTCTTTCGTTTACTCTCTCTCCTCTTCCATTTTCATTTAATTTCCTATTTGTATAAAATGTTTTATAGTTTGTTTATATTATGTTTTTTTTATCATTGTATATGTTGTGTATTTGTATGTGTATTGTAAGATATTTGAAATGTAATTTGTTTATGACAGCAGTGCGGCTTGAATGGGACTATCCTGCATTTTATAAAGAAAACATGAATAAATAAATAAATAAATCATGGTAATACAAGACTATTTTAATAACTCAATCTTATGATAAAGTAGAGGTCTTTACCAATATTTTCATTTTGATTGGGGCTAAACATCCCTCAGCTTTTCTTTGTAATGTGTTCAATTCTATATGATATTGTTAGACCTAATCAACGTGACTAATTCCATACCTTATAGGTGACTTATATCGTTTTTACAGCGTATCGATATCACATGAATCATTCATATACAATGTAACTTATCATCTACATGTAGAAACCGATGGAAAACTATTTTCTGCATATTATATCAAATATAGAAAATAAAACTTGAATGTTGAAATCTCGACAACAGAACTCGTAATTCCTGTCTAAGCGCTAGCTGTTCTCCTAATTGAACTATTGTCGCACTATCAGCTGACTGTCATCATAGCTTATGTCACTAGACTCTACTAATCATTTCATCCGGAGTTTACAAAGAGAATCTGGAGGCGATATGACAGAGTAGGATAAAATGTTTTAGACTGTGTATAGTTCTACCCAATTCCTTGTGCGTAGGCCTACATGATGTCGGCAAGGGATATTGAAACGAAAGAAAACAAAAATACGCCTACAATTACCCTGATAATGTTCCTATGCATTGCATCGTACATCACTCATAATTTTCCGGCGTCTGCGACCAAACTTCAAATGTTTATTCTAATAAGAAATAATTAAATCTTGAAATTGTAACAAGTCGAATTCGATAATTGGGCAGAAAAAATATAATTTTAATACTGAAATCGGGTTTTTTTTTTTTTTTTTTGGGGGGGGGGGAGTTTTTATTTATATTTCGCCGAAGTGTTGTCAGGTTGCTTGTGATATGAGGCTGTTTAGCCTTCTTTGATGAATGGCTTTGAAATAAAATTGTACCAATACTGCTGTGTTGAACTGCATACAATGTTTTTTCTCCTGCACACGATCTGACTCACGAGAATATTAATCACTAGATAGCTGTAAATTGGCAATGTCCTCGGGGTGTCTGTAAGAAGGACATTGGAGGGATTAAGTCATTTTCAAGTAAACAGATGCTGTCAGAATATTTTTCAACGAAATATGTATCATATAGCGAACTCATGGAAAACATTGAAAATGATTAGTATGTACAAGTATCTGCTAGATTATGCCTTTCATACTACAAAATATGTATTTTTCTCTTTTCCTACTTTCTTTACATAACGATTCTGCACGATTTTTCTGTTAACCGAAAGTTTGTTTCCTTTTGTTTGTTTGATACATTTAAACAATTTGTTCTGCAAAGCTACAGCATTTTAAGGATTGATTTCTTTATCTACAATTCTAGTGGGAGTAAAGTGGACAATATTTCCTCGATAGAGTCACAGAAATTTAAATCTATGACGACGGAACCATAATATACAGGTTTGTCAATCCGTGTGTAAATTGGCCAATTGGGCACCCCACCCTTCTCGACATGACTATTGGATTAACAGTGTGAATTATATACTTCCAATTAATGTGTTTACCCCCCCCCCCCCCCCGAAAGTCGACGGACACCCTTATGTAGTAAAGAGATGACGCATAGGGAAGGCCACTGATGTTTCCGTTTTGCGGCTCAAACCGATTACGTGTGAAGTGGAAAAAGACAGTCAAGATGACACATACAGGGATCCCTATATTCTATTGACTGTTTATGATCATTAAACAATGAAGTAATTCTAGATGGTCGATCTTTATCTTAGAATATGATTAGCCCTACGTCGCCTTAAAAGGGTAAACTTATCGCCAAAGTTATTCATAGTTGTTATCAAACTACAAATCAAGATTTGTACAGAATTAAATTGGACCTACATTATGCTGATTGTATCAAGTAATTATTTTAACAGCCTTGTTGTTGAAATTATAAAGTAATGCCATCAGGATAGTATCACCATTCATTTTTACAATTCTTCAACAAATTACTGTACTTACTTTTGAAAGCGAAAGCTGAAATTAAGTATATACTTATTATTCATTCAGAAATAAATTGTCACTGGTATGAATTTTACAAAAACAAATTTTACATCTACAAATGGAAAAATCTTAAGCGGTTACAATTACTACATGTATAACAACAACAAGAACAACTAATACTTCTACTACTATTAGTAGTACTACTTCTACTACTACTTCTACTAATACTTCTACTGCTGCTGCTGCTACTACTACTACTACTACTTCTTCTTCTACTGCTGCTGCTACTACTACTCCTACTACTACTTCTACTACTACTTCTACTGCTGCTACTACTACTACTACTACTTCTTCTACTGTTGCTGCTACTACTACTACTACTACTACTACTACTACTACTCCTTCTAATACTGCTTCTATTACTGCTGCTACTACTACTTCTGCTACTACTTTCGTTACTATTTCTACTACTACTACTACTTATACTACTTATACTTACTCTAGTACTATTACTACTACTTCTATTACTACTACTAATAATAATGATCAATACTTCTTCTTCTTCTTTTCCTTCTTCTTCTCCTTCATCTTCTCCTTCTTTTTCTTCTCCTTTCTTTTTTAATTTCTTAATCAGTTAAGTGCAAAATATTCCCTTATGAAATAAAGCTCGGTCGGAGAATTTTGCGTAAGTGTTAATTTTAGACCTACAACGTTTTCTTTCCGTCCTGAATCTTATCTTCGTTGTCGTATTGTGACCATGATCCCCAACTACTAGTAAAAATATATTCCTATACAGCCTACATAATTAAACAAAAGCCGTAGGCTCAGTGAAGACAGCAGTGATCATCTCCAAAATGGCATGTTAAAACTAACAACCACATAGTCATCTTCATTCTGCATGCTTTAAGGCAAAGCAAGATTAGCAACCAACTGTTCATATACGGTGTATTTATGATTTTATTTTTATTTTTCATAAACCAAAATGTCAAAGGTAGGGTGTCTGGGAAGGGGTAATTGGTTGCGTCAGCCAATGGGGAAGGAGGAAATTCGAAAGGCTTCCGTCTCACTCTGGATAGGAAGATGACCCACTGGGCTAATGACATGAATTCTGCCCCTGCCCCAACGATCTCAAACCGGCCGATTATCAACAAAGTCTTGGTCATTCAGGGTATACCGGTCTGTTTCGATGTGCATTGTGTTGTCTCGTTAGTGT